TCATTTTAACTTGGTATGAAATGGTGCCTTATTTTGGCTTTTATTTGCATTTCCCTTTTGGCTAACAGTATTCAGCCTCTTTTTGTGTGCTTATTGGGCATTTGTTTATCTTTAGAGAAATGTCTACTCAGATCTTTTGCCCACTTTTTAATTGGGTTGTCTTATTAATGAGTTATAAGAGTTCTTTATATAGTCTAAGTGCAAATCCCTTAAGCAGACATATGGTTTGTAAAAATTTCCCTTTCTGTGGGTTCTCTTTCCAATTTTTTTAATGGTGTCCTTTGAAGCAGTTTTTAATTTTAAGAAAATTTATCTTTGTTTTTGTTGCTTGCATTTAGTCACTCTGGCCCTGACACTTAACTCATTAGAATTAATATTTAAGCCTAGTGACTCCCGAACCCCTCCCCCCTGGCAGGAATGTTTGAGACCTCCATCACTATATGGTTCTGAACTGAGCCCGGTGGCTGTAGGAGGCAGCCACATACACTAGGGGAGTTGCCATCACTGGATCTTTTGTTCAAAATCTATACAGCTGCTCAATGAACCTTGTGAAGGAAATGAGGAAAAGTGTTCCACTTAACTGACACCATCTTCCTTCCCACCCTGTTCCGCCTAACAAAGAAGGGCACAGCCGGCTCTGAGAGCTGGTGCTGGGGCGCTGGTCTGGGCCTGATGGGGAGAGATGCAGAGGACCAGCCGTGGCCCCTGGGAGAGAACAGCTGAGAGAGGGGAAGGGGGGTCTCAGGAGTGGGTAGGTACGAGGGAAGGTACTGCGCTGGGCAGCAGCGGGTGGGGGAGACCAGATGAATGAGGGAGGGAGTGTGGCTTCCAGGAGGCCAGTTGTCCAGGTCCGGCCCAGCCCTGGTGCTAAAGGAGCTGCTTGTTCTCCCCATGAAACAGCTCCCCACAGTCCTGCGTGTGCACCCAGGCCAGCACTGGAAGGAGCCTCACCTGCTTACCAGCTCTGAGCACCTAGGACTTGAGGTAAGAAGTCTCCCAGGTCCCCTCCCACAAGGACACAGTACCCTGGCACGAGGTTGGCACAGCACTCCTTGAATGTTAGGGGAGGAGAGGACCAGTGCTCAAGCTGCATTGGGGAGCCCTAGATTAGGTTCGCCATGGGGGTTGGGGGTTCACCTCACCAGCTTCTGTCCTCCTTACTGATTGGGTTCTGTCCTCCTCGCCCGGTTTCCCTCACCCTCGGCTTTCACACAGTAAGTGCAGGTGACCACTGAGATTAGTACCTTGAAATGTGGAGGATGGAGGCTCTGGGCTGGTCACCCCTGGCAATGTGGGGTATCTGCAGGATCTACAGGGAACCTGGTGGCCACTCTCCTCAAGAAAATCAGCCCCACCTATCAGCACTGCTCTGCCCAGTGTGGAGATTTGCATGGGATTAAAAGGTGGCCCGAGCCCCAAAAGCAGGGGACAACTGCAGTAGGAACCATAGGAGGCCCCATGTCCTTGGGCTCAGCGACGAGGGTGGCTCTCGGAGGACTGACACAAAGCAGCCCCTTGACACCTCAGTACGTGACTGGCAGTAGGGGAGCTGGGAGCATAGTTCACGTCTGGGTTTCCCTCCAGGTTCAGGAGAAGCCTCGAAGATGTCTAATGACCCACCTCCTCCTTATCCTGGAGGCCCCACAGCCCCCCTCCTGGAGGAGAAAAGTGGAGCCCTGCCAACCCCAGGTAGGGTTCAGAGCCCTTCCCCTTGCCCACTCCAGCTGCTGAAGTTGTGTCTGGAGCAGCCCCTCCCACTGACAGTGGGGCTAGGGCCCTCTGCATTTCTTTTCCTTCCTCCTGTCCAGGCCAAACCTCCCCTGCTGTGGTGCAGCCCCCCGCAGGCATGTCACTGCCTCCTGCAGACATTGGCCCTCCACCTTATGAGCCACCTGGTCACTCAATGCCCCAGCCTGGCTTCATCCCTCCACACGTGAATGCAGATGGAGCCTACATGCCTCCAGGTAAGTTGGGAAGATCCCAGCAGAGCACAGGTGTCTGTCCAGCCTTTGCTACAGGCAGGCTGGTGTTCTGTGAGGGTGTTTACTGCTGGTTGGAGCAGGGGGAATGATTGTGGGCATGGAGGGTAGATATGGGAAGATGTCACAGAGCAACACACTGCTGGGAAAGCACTGTGGACGAGCCAGAGGAGCCCAGGGCCTGCCAGGAGGGTTGACTCCTGGGAAGGCTCCTCAGGCAGTGGCTATGGACTCATGGGTGCTACACAGGCCACACCCTGCCAGAACTTGAGTCCATGGTGGAAGCCTGGTCTCCTGCTCACCAGGCAGCTCTTCGGAGGGTCTACTTAAGCCAGAGGACCAGAGTTCCTGCACAGGTGTCCCCAAGTGGACCAGGTGGCACTGCAGAGCAGGACCTCACACTGGTGGGGAAGAGAGCCCTGTTTGCACAGAAGGGCTGATGAGCAGCGAGGCTTTCGTTCCTGTGGTTGAGGTCCTCGAGCACAGTGCCCAGTCCCCTGTGTCAGAGGCAGGGAGCAAACGCATCGAGCTGAGGCCAAGGGGTAGATTGGGCCTTGTTCTCAGCTGTCTTATCTGGCTGGGTCAAGTATCTTCTCTGTTTTGGTCCCCATGGGACAGGGACAAGGAAAGTCTTAGGACTGCTTCCTCAACTGTGCCCTGAGTGCTGGCAGCTTTGTACTTACCTCTCATGTGACACAGTGGGGTGACAAGCCAGTGACTCGTCTGCTCTGTCTTCTCTGCCATTCCAGGTTTCTACCCTCCTCCAGGCCCCCATGCATCGATGGGCTATTACCCGCCAGGGCCCTACCCACCAGGGCCCTACTCGCCAGGGCCCTATCCTGGTCCTGGCGGACACACAGCCACAGTCCTGGTCCCTTCAGGGGCTGCCACTACAGTGACAGTGCTGCAGGGAGAGATCTTCGAGGGTGCACCTGTGCAGACAGTGTGTCCCCACTGCCAGCAGGCCATCACCACCAAGATCTCCTACGAGATTGGCCTGATGAACTTCGTGCTGGGCTTCTTTTGCTGCTTCATGGGGTAAGTGGTATGAGTGCTTGCGGGGTGGGGAGCTCCACTTGCCCATTACCCAGTGGAGTAGGCCCAGTGCCTTCAGCACATTCTTTTCAGGCCTTCCCTTCTCTGATGCAGGTGCGATCTGGGCTGCTGCTTGATCCCCTGCCTCATCAACGACTTCAAGGATGTGACGCACACGTGCCCCAGTTGCAAAGCCTACATCTACACGTACAAGCGCCTGTGCTAACGGGGTCTGGACTGGACTCCCCGCTGTCAGTCTGGACTCCTGTGCTTTGCTCCCTACACTCAGTGGCTCGTGTCCCCACTCCCGCTTGGGGGCGGAAGGTGTTCCACCAGTCCCCTGGAACTCTCGTCGTCTTTGCCTTGCCCTTCCCTGAGCATCTGACTTCCGGCAAAAATTGTTGGATTTAAGGCCAAGGGTCAGCAAGTGGCAGGGAGCTGGCACTGAGCATGTATGTTGCTGGTTTGCTTGGTGTTTGATTAGGAAGATACACTGGGAAGGGTCTCTGCTGGGGTCTCACTCCTCCATTTTTATATGAGGTGTAAGTTTGGTCCTTATTCTTCTGGGACCAAAAGCAGCAGAGCAATGGCTAGTTTTTCAGACCTGGGCCTACAGTGGGTCTTTGGGTCTGTGCCTGTAGCCAGTTTCTAATCTACTAGGCCAAGAGTGGGAATGTGAATCCAAACAGGACGGAGTCATAGGCCAGGGTTCCTGGGGTCCTAGAGGTAGCATGATTGTCGGCAGGAATGACTCCCTCTCTCAGGAACTCAACACCTTGTCCAGGAGCCACATGGAATTAAGAAAGAGTCGGCACAACTGCAATTCATGGGATAAGTGACCCGGCCCTGGCTCACCAAAAGACGTGCCTCTGGCCTCTGCCTAGCTCCCCTTCCACAATGCCTCTGTGAACGTGTCTTTTCTGGGGCCAGAAGAATCCCAGGAACCCAGCCCCTCTGTCCAAAACATGTCCTTGCTGTGTGTGGGCATGATCTTTGCCTGGAGGCTAATGTATTTCAGCTGAGACCAGAGATGGCCAATAGGCTCACTCAAAATTTAAAATGCTCTCTCTCTGTAGATCCTTTCTAATGAACTGGGCACTTCACCCAGGTTGACTCACTGTCACTGTGCTTGCTCCAGGCACTATAGCAGGAACAACTGTAGCACTGGATTGGGGACCAGGAAGGAGCAACTACAAGTGGCGGAAGTACCCTGGTGGACTAGCCCTGTCCTGGGCCTGAGGCCATGCTGTCTCTTTTCTGAATGGTTTGTCAGTAACTTGCACCTGTGGACTGCTGTACCCTGCTGCCACCCCTCTCCTGGTCTCACACTGCCTCTGCATGGCCTTCTCTCACTGTGAATTGTGACCAGTCTGTTTGTAGTTTCTCATTAAATTGGTCCGTTCACTCCTCTGACCTGGGCCTCTGCTCTCTTGCCTGGCTTCCTTCTTTTGCAAGAGGAAGAGGGTGGGGCTACAGGTAGTCTTAAGCGCATGGGGGGAGGGGCGCTGTCAAGTCTTCGGGGTCTCTCAGTGCTTATGTTATACCGACTGCCAGGGATGACACTAACATTTAAGTACCTAGTTAAATTTAAAACAAGCCAGAGTTAGTGTGGAGGAGCCCTGGCATTCCAGCTGTGACTGGCCCAGGGCAAGTGTTGACAATCTTACTATCTCTGATACTGGTTTTACCCATCTCCACATCACAGCATTCACCATGGGCTGGAGCCCTCCAACTGAAGCTCAGGGTCATCCTACTCTGGAAGCAGGTAGCTTCACTCCCTTAGGCAAGACAGAGACACTGGGCTAAGGTTTCTGAGGGCGGGGGTGATAGTCTGGGCCCCCAAGTTCTGGACAGCTCTGTCCCTACCTTCATCTGAATTGTGGGGGTAGATAGGTTGGACAGTAGTTAAAAAAAAAAAAAAAAGTTCCCCCATCATTTAACCCTTTTGTGACTAAAATGTTCAGATCCTCAATTATATAAAATAGATGCCTATTAATAAAAATATTTAAGTTCACATTTCTATTTTAGACAATCGATTATTATTCGATACAAGTACATGGTTTTTTTATGCTTATTTATAAGGTAAATGGCAGTCTTGGAGCACAGCAGGAGGAGCTGTCAGGGACCAGCGAGGATGACATCTGTGCCAGGAAGGAGGCGGCAGCTGTCAAGAGTCCACTTTATTGAGTGCTGTAGCATGACAGGTCAGGAGGAGACAGGCCTTGGCTGGACACACCCCACTCGGGGGTTTCTGCTAGAGACAGATAAGCCCAGGCAAGCCTGGCTTCTATCTCCTCACCACACGCCCAGTGAGCCCCCAAGTAGAGCAGGAGCATTCGTGGCGTCCCTTGCCTCCCACAGGGCTACAGCTCCTAGCCTTGGCCTGGCTGGCTGCTCTGCTCCCAGCAGGGAAAGGTACCCCCCTAAATGATGACAGCAGGAAGAACAAAAGGAGAAAAATCTCAGGGTGAGAGGTGTGGGTGCCCAGGAGCAGAGCTGATTCCAGAGGCCCAGGCCAGTCACTGAGCTACACGGCTGTTCCCAGTGCTACAGCCTGGACTGCTGTAAGAAGGGGGGCCTCAGCTCAGCATCTGGCCCGCAGAGGACACTAACAGGCAGAGGCTTTAGTGTCTGGCTTTTATTGGTTGCTTTCCTCAAACCCAGCATTTTTAAAAAGTCACCTGGGGTGGTGGTTTTGTCACAGGTAGAGGTGGGAGCCAGTCAGCAGTCACTCAGGAGGAGGGCGCCAATGAGGTGATGGGTGTTTCACATGTAGTACCAGGCCAAGAGACCAGCAGCCAAAGCCACACTAGCAGCCAGAATGAACGGGATGCTGGGCTTGGTCACCAGAGCTATTCCGAAGGGACAACTTCTACGCTCCAGGGCACCTGTGTGGCAGCACCAACGGGACATGGCATCAGTGGGAACACTGACACACCTGCCCGGAGGGGAGCTGGGGATACAAGGCCTACCTCTGTCTTGGTTGTCAGTGTAAAAGGGGCATTTACGCACATCTCCTTTCCCATTGTGCACGGGGAGCCCGTCCTCCACGGTCTCTCTGGCCAGCGAGGAGCCAGCCTGGTCCAGTTCATTGAATACCTGCAGGAGCAGAGGAGCACACCATCACTGGATTGCTTAACTCTACTTTCAGAGAAAAACCTCTTCTGCAGAGGGAACTGGAGCAGGTAAGGTGTGCTCAGCAGATAAGGTTTGCTCAGAGGTGCAAACCAGTAAAACAGCAGCTCCACTCGGGGACACTGACCTGGCACTTCTCCCTAGCACGAGTTCTGGGAAGTATGGTCGTACCTGTGCTGTCCAGCAGCCTATGGCTGCTGATCATAGTAGACCTCCCCTTGTCACCACAACCCACGACTGAAAGTATCCAAGGTACAGATAAGAGTAAAAACACTCTTCGAGCCATGGTACTTCCCCACTTCCAGCTGCTGGGTATTTTCAGCAAGAAGCAATAAAAAAAGGAATATGGAAGAATAAGGCCCTAGCAGGGCTGACCCATCTTGAGTAGACCCAGGAGGCCCCTGATATCAGGTTAGAGGGCTGACAGGCCTGTGGTTAGGCTGATGCTTCACTCCCCTCCAGGGCCACTTGACTGGTGCCTAGATTCTGGGGACAGAATCAGCCTCATCAGCCTCAGCTCCATCTAAAGGCTACTTGTAAACTGAGTTATGATCCTCGCTCTCCTTTGTTCTCTCCTTGAACTTACCAAGCAAGACTTTTCATAGCAATCCATGCTAAAAAGGAAGAACTCCATTCCTCAAAACCAGAACCCTGTGGTGAGAGGAAAGGAGACAATTCCCTTCTCCCCAAGTTCACTTCGTGGTGAGGCCTCACTGCTTCCAAAAACAAAACACAGAGGCTGTCTATCAAATAAAGCAGAGCTATCACTGGACTCATGCCCTCTGTGACCTATTTGGTCCCTCGATTTTCTCTCAAACTAGGTGCAGAGCATTTGTCCTAATGCACCAGTGTCCATCGGTTTGGACAGTTCTGATCAGCTCACACCATCAGAGGCCCCTTTCCGCCCGGCCCCAAGCAATACCTGCATGTTGTACTCAAAGGCCCTGTTGGCCTCCTCCACAATCTTCTCTTTGGTTTTCAGGCTCAGATCCAGGGCATTCATTCTGGCCCGGTAGAACTGTTTGAACTGTTGCGCGTTGTCCACATTCTCAAACTGGTAAAACTGGGTCCCCTCTCCCGTGCTGGGGAGTTTCAGAGCCCTCTGGGCTACCTTCTTAAGCACCTGGCCCCCCGAGAGGTCCCCCATGTAGCGAGTATAGGCATGGGCCACCAGCAGCTCCGGCTCATTCTGCCCCACATAGTGGATCCGCTCCACATACTTTCGGGTGGCCTCAGAGCACTGCACCTGCTTCTCCCAGTCCTCACCAAAGAAATACTCCATGTCCTTAATCAGCGCCTCCTTCCGGTGCAGCTCCAGGGGGAAGTACAAGGGAGCGAAGGCTGGATGGTCCTGGTTGCGGTCCATTTCCTCCTCGAGGGCTGAGTATGTGAAGTAAAGTGCAGTAGTGGCCAGCTGTTGAGGGTGATGGGGAGAGACCAAATGGGAAGGACTGTGGGCCGTGGGTGGCAGCTCTGGAGCCCACCGTCCACCATGTCTGAGTAGCTGAAAGCAAAGACTTGAGCAGCAACCCCCCTTCCTGTCCCCAAAGGCCCATTTTTATACAACAAATTATTTCACACTCTTAAAAAACTCATGTTTCTATAGGAATGTCATGGTGAATTCTTTGGACATGGATACTTTTGCTTTCTTTACATCACTACGTTATTCCACTTAAGCCATGAAAACTATAGACTGGCATCAGAGAAGTACTAGTGGAGTGTAACAAAGGCCTTGCTTCCCCCTTGGAGCAACTCCAGGGAAATCTTTCTCATGGGACGATGGCCCCCTAACCCAAACCCATCCATGACGAGGCACAAACCTTAAACAGCTCTTTCTTGATGTTGCCTTTCAAGAAGTCCTTGACAAACTGGGTGTTTTCTGCCCGGTCATGTGCTTCTTTGGTCCCTTCCTTCAGGAGCTCAGAGAGGTCAGCCATCCTGTAGAACAGCAATTTTCACACTTTTGCATTTCATGACACACACAATTACTAAAATTCTGTAGCACAACAAAAAATATATTTATCAATCTAACCCAAAAAATATGTATAATTTTGATTGATTTATAAAAATAATAATACTACTTACCTTCTCTTTTTGCATCAAAGTGACTTTAAAAAATCAGGTGCCTAGCCTTCCTATATAATAAAAGGCTAATATGCAAATCAACCAAACAGCATAATGACAGATCACCATGACTCACACTGACCACCAGGGGGCAGATGCTCAATACAGGAACTGCCCCCTGGTGGTCAGTGCTCTCCCAGGGGACCGCTGCTCAGCCAGAAGCCAGTTGAGCCCAGCAGTAGTGGCAGGAGCCTCTCCCGCCTCAACCACAGCACTAGGGATGTCTGACTGACAGCTTAGGCCTGACCGCCCCACCTCACCCAAGTGGGTGCATAAATTTCATACACTGGGCCTCTAGTGCTTGTATATAAGGATTTCTGTTAACCAATCCTTAATTTGTCACGACAAATTTCTCTCTCTCTCTCTCTCTCTCTCTCTCTCTCTCTCTCTATATATATATATATATATATATATATATATCCTATATATTTATGGTTCAAGACAAAGCAGTCACCGGATGGCTATTGTTTTGGCTGTTGTCATTTTTTTATTTGACAATCTAAGGGAAAAGAGGTCAGTGCCCCTGTCTAAATAAATATTACATGTTTTAAAAATAGATATTACACGTTTTAAAAAATTTTTAAATTCTTGCAGCACACTAGTTGAAAATCACTGTTCGAGAGACCAAGTGTATACATGTACATGTATGTGTGTGTGAATTGGCCCTTACCCAGCTCTAGCATGTCGCTTGCTAAGCTGGTAGGCAGGGGCTGCTCAGAAACTCAACTCCAGCATAGATGCAGGGTCTTCCCAGAAAGCACAGGGCAAACATATAAGTCTGCTACCAAGGACTTAGGTAACATGAGGGACGACTGTAGCCAGCCTCTCAGCAGTGTCCCTGTCTCTGAACTACCCAAATGAGTGATGCTTTGCTTCTGTGGCTACTTAATACCCAAAGAAAACACCTGTGTTCCCAGCATTTGCAGACTTCTCCAGGGAATAGCCAGCCCTGGGGAATGTCTCTCCCAGAATACACACAATTGTTAAGAGCTGACTGTGAATCTTCTAGTGCAACCTTGCTGCTGCTTCTCATCTTGGACCCACAGCCTCTTCAGGATTACATGTCGCTGAGAAGGAGACAAATGCTGGGAAAGTTGGAGCCAGGCAGGACCTGTGTGTGCTGCCTAACAAAATTACACAGGATGAAATTGTGCCGCCTGATGCCAGTTCCAGACAAGGCAGAGAATGCATGACCCTAAAGATGGTGGCACTGGCCAAGGCTTATGTGTACATACAATCTGTCTACTCGAGTGAAAAAAAGTTGGCCTCTCATGGCCCAGCCTCTGCTGGCTTTAGCAGAGTAGCAAGTGTCACCCACATTCTGACAATAATTTAATATTAACAATTATTTCAAGATATAAAAAGAACTTTGAGAGCTCGCCACACTGCTTCCCACTCACAACCTCTGCATCTCGCTCCACTCCGACGTGGCAAAAATGTCCAGCCCTACAGAGACCGAGCAGTGCATCGAGTCTCTGCTGTTTTCCAGAGGTATGCTGGAAAGGACAGTAACAGCTTCACACTCCCCAAGATGGAGTTCCTAACTTTCATAAATACGGAACTGGCTGCCTTCACAAAGAACCAGAAGGACTCTGGTGTCCTTGACTGCTTGATGAAGAAATTGGACCTTAGGGAGGCTGGGGGTAAGGGGAAGAGATCAACCAAAGGACTTGTGTACATGCATATAAGCCTCACCAGTGGTCATGGACAACAGGGGTGTGGAGGCATACGTGGGGAGGGGTTTGGGATAGGAATGGGGGAATGAGGACAATTATACGATACCATAATCAATAAAGAAATTTAAAAAAAAAAAAAGAAAAGAAACGACCTCAACTCTGATGAGCAGCTAGATTTCCAAGAATTTCTTAATCTTGTCAGCGCCTTGTTCTTAGCTTGCCAGGATACCTTTAAGCATTCCCAGAAGTTTGTTGAAGAACCCTTGGAGCTGGCCTCCAGCCCCCAGCCCCTTTCCTTCAAGCTTCCCAATCATCATTTCTCACAGACCACACACACCTTGAGCCCAGCGTACCTGCCACCCAATGCAGGCCACTCCTGCTGGTAGTAATAAAACATTTTTTAAAACACACAAAAGCCCTAACCAGTTTGGCTCAGTGGATAGAGCGTCAGCCTTCGGACTGAAAGGTCCCAGGTTCGATTCTGATCAAGGACATGTACCTTGGTTGCGGGCACATCCCCAGTAGGAGGTGTGCAAGAGGCAGCTGATTGATATTTCTCTCTCATCAATGTTTCTAACTATTGTTCCCTCTCCCTTTTCTCTCTCATCAATGTTTCTAACTATTGTTCTCTCTCCCTTCCTCTCTGTAAAAAAAAATCAATAAAATCTATTTTAAAAAAGAAAATAACTGGCTCGTTTAAACAGAAAAGGATGGAGAAGCAGGCTCTAGGTCCAGGAGCAACGTCCAGCTTTGAGAGGCACATGATCTGTGCGTGCGATCAAGGAAACAGCACTCACCACTACAGGAAGCTGACGAATCAGGAAGCTGCTCACCAGAGCGCCAGAGGATCTGTGGTGATGTGCGACAGCAAAACGGATGTCCCAAGCTATTTAGCGCTGTTCTAAATTTATGCCTTGCACAAGAGCAGAACCTAAATCATGGATTCCTCGCTCAAGGGAATCTGGGAAGTGGTTTGGCTTTCCAGCTCAGCAGCTCGGAAGGATCACCAAAAGGAGTTTTGGATTCATGGGGAGCAGCCAGACCAGGGCAGCAACCACACCGTGAGGTCAGCTTTGGATTACTTACGACCAAAGGCACTCCCTTCCTGAAACACTGCACAGAGAGCAATAAGATTGGTCTTGAAAGCACAGCATTGAGTAAAAGCCAATACCACATAATTCTAAGGTGTGAGTAAAAACATGCACAATCAACACTACATTTCTCAATGAAATGTACAGTTTCAAGGATATATATGCCAATTGGTAAAGAGAAGTAGGAGGGCAAAGAGCTTTTGAAATCAGGAATAAAAAAGAAACTACATACGGCTGGGAGTGGTATAAACAGAGCAATAGGATTGGCACAAGTGTCTACACCTGAGGTCCCAAACCAAACCATTACCTTTAATGTCAATATTACTTTGAAGAATAATTTATTATTGAATGAAGGCATAATTATAAGTAACTTAATTTGAATTATTAAATTAATGTATCTTAATACAACTTAAATATTTCATACTTAATTTACCCCACCAAAACTTAATATGTCATTAAATAAATAAATAAATAAATAAATAAAATAAAACACGCAAAAAGAACTTTGCATCCTGGCTAGTGTGCTCAGTGATTAGAGTGTCAGCCTGCGTAATGAGGGATCTCAGATTCGATTCCTGGTCAAGGCTTACAAGACCTGGTCAAGACCATGTAGTTGGGTTGCAGGTTTGATCCCCAACCCCAGTCAGGGTGCATGTGGGAGGCAACCAATCAATGTGTCTCTCTCTCACTTTATGTTCTTCTCTCTTCCTCCCCACCCTCTTCCTTCCACTCTCTAAAAAAAAATCAATGGAAAAATATCCTCAGGTGAGGATTACAAAAAAAAGAGAGAGAGAGGGAGAGAACTTTGTTAATGATGAGAGGATAATAATGGAGAACAGGTCCTAGTAACTTGAGGCTCAGAGGAACTGGTCCTACCCCTGGGAGTTGTTCCCACATTAAGGGTCTGTGGGAGATACTGGAAAGATGCCAGCTTTGCCTCTAATACTCTTCTCTCTCCAGATGACAAAATACTAAGGGTTTTAGAAGAAAAAGGACCAGCATCACCATCAAATTCTGTTACTCAACACCCCTAGAAGTGCCTGTCCCATCTCCTCCAGGACACACAGGGAGAGTGCTGAGCAGCCCAGGGTGCTGTCTGCTGTCCCGGCCAGGCATTTCAAGGGTCACAGCAGCAGGGCTCCTGACTATACCTGGTGCCTGCAGCACACACCGCCACATATGCTAGGCATGCAGGCCTTGGCTCAGCCGGTGTCCCCATCCTCACCTGCTGGGACGTTCCCTTTCCGGGGCCTTGGAGCTCTGTTTCTCTGGCTCTTCTACCCCCTTCGAGATCTCCGGTACCATTAACATGGTTGCGAGTGTGGTTCTTGCTGCCCTTCCTCCTCCGGCCCTGTGGAGACAAAAAGAGCAAGCGCAGGTGATGTGGAGCCCAGGGCAGTCATTTCCCCAAATAACCTGCTGGCTCTGCTCTCCTCAGAGCCACCTCACCAGAGTCACCCACACTTCTCAGGGGTGTTTTCCTTCTAAACAAAGCTCTGCCGTCACTGGGACTATATTGAATATGGACAGAATTTTATTATGGACGGCAGATTAGGCAACAGCACTATGTTGATGTGGACTTGTGGGTTTTTTATTTTATTTTGTACTGTGATTATGTAAGAGACTGTCCTTGTTTTAGGAAGTACATACTGAGGTATTCAAAAGTAAAGGGTTCGGTCAGACTCTCTCCCCCCCCCACCTCCCATCGCGGCATCACGGTGGCCTACTGGCGACAGGCTGGACTCAGCTACATCCGCTACTCCCAGATCTGTGCAAAAGCAGTGAGGGATGCACTGAAAACTGAATTCAAAGCAGGCGCCGAGAAGTCTTCTGGCAGCAGTGTCAAAATTGTGAAAGTGAAGAAGGAATAATGTACCCTCCCTAAAGCTTGAAGTGCTACATTTTCAAGGTGAAGATGTGTGGGCACAGGTTATGCAGATTGAAAAGAATCTCACTTCATGGGGAAAATAACACCTGTCCTATGGATGGATTGATAATGCCAACAAAGTGAAACATGCTTCCCTCAAAAAAAAAAAAAAAAAAAAAAAGTAAAGGGATAGGTCACCTGCAACTTATTGTCCAATGGTTCAGAAAAACATGTGTGTGTGTGTGTGTGTGTGTGTGTGTGTGTGTACATACATATACATACAGGGAGAGAGGGAGACATCCAAGGGAAGCAAGTGAGGCAAAATGCTATGGGAACTGGTTAAAAGGAACACGAGAATTCTTTGTGCTGTTCTGACAACCTTATTGTATGTTTAAAATTATATCAAAATTAAGTTACCTAAAACATAAAATAAATAATCATAGATAAATCTTAAAAGAAAAAAATGCAACAGCTCTGCTTTGGCAGGAAGCACATTAGTAGGCAGGCCGTCCTTCCTGTTAACGGCGTGGCCTCATGCAGAGGGCAGTGGGCAGGGCACTTGACAGCTGAACCAGGCAGTTTGGAGCAGCTCCACTTTAAACCAGAGAAGCTCAAAAGGTACCCGACAACCTACATCAGCTACACTGAGTCACCAAGCAAGCGGATTGTCCCCAGTCTCCTCCAAACCTGCTGGGCTAAAGGCTAGTCAGTATTTACTGCCAGGTCTGGGCCTCCGTTGTCAGCCAGGGAAACATGGTCCTACACCAGTGGTTGGCAAACCGCGGCTCGTGAGCCACATGCGGCTCTTGGGCCCCTTGAGTATTCTAACGCCACTTCTTCAAAACAGACTCGCCCAGGCCAAAAACCGACTTCTGCGCATGGGCCACAAAGTTTCAATCGCACTGTACATGCGCTCCCGCACGTGGTACTTTGTGGAAGAGCCACACTCAAGGGACCAAAGAGACGCATGTGGCTCAAGAGCTGTGGTTTGCCGACCACTGCCCTACACCATGACAAGCTCATCCTCCACCCTGGAGGCCTCTGCTCTTCCACTGCAAAGGGGCAGCCCCCTCTGGGGACTTGCCAGATGAACAGCAGCAAAGATGCCCAGAGCTACCAACACTGAGGCCAAATCAAGCCAAGGAAAGAACCATTTTTCTATTTACTGAGCATTTTCTATCTACTCCACCCAGAAACAGGTGTCTGGGGGGGGGGGGGGGGGGGGGAAGAAGTGTAAGAAATGGTCCTTTTTAAAGGTTATAAAGAAAATAGCCCTGGCTAATAGTGTTCAGTGGTTGGACCATCCGCCCACGCATGGAAGGGTCTCAGTTTTCCATTCCGGGTCAAGGGCACATATTCAATCTCCAGCCCTGGTAGGGCACGTTCAAGAGGCAGTCGATGGGTGTGCCTCTCTCACATTAATCTTTCTTTCTACCCTTCCCTCCCCCTTCACTCTAAGAATGGAGAAAATATCCTCAGGTGAGAATTAACGAGAAAGAGGGTGGGGGGAGAAAGGGAAGGGGGAAGAGGGAGAGAGAAATAAAAACCTCTTATCCTACAGAGATAACCATCGTTGGTACACATCCTTTCTGAGTTTTCTCTAGGCATATAGTTACGTCTTTGTTACTTTTGGGGATATTACAGTGGTTTGCTCAGCATGACTTTTCTGAACCTTCTCTTTCCTTTAGATTTAGCATTTATACAATGGGATTAATGACAAGAATTAAATGAGAACAAGGAAAATAAGGTTTTAGCATAGCACTCAGTAAATATTAAATAGGATTATTTGTACTTATATTTTGATTGCACTTACTGATGTTCTCCAAGAATGCTTAGAAAATAAATATCAAAAGGTGAAAATATCCTTGATTTGGCTCTACATAGAGCATTGGCCTGCCGACTAAAGGGTCCTGGATTCGATTCCAGTCAAGGGCACATCCCTTAGTTACAGGTTCCTCCCTGGCCCAGCCCTAGTCAAGGCATGTGCAGGAGGCAACCAATTGATATGTTTCTCTCACATCGATGCTCTGTCTCCCTTTTTCTTCCACTTTCTCTTTAAAAAAATCAATGGAAAAATATCCTCAGGTGAGGAGTTAAAAAAATGAAAAGTAAAGTAAGCCCTCCCTACCCCCCTGGCCCCCGCCATTGATCACCCCACTGGCCAGTGGCCTGGGCCTCCCTGCTGTGCAAGGTGATCATGGGACAATGGCCTGGAGCCAGTGGGTGTCATAGCGTGGTCCTGGATGGTTGTCCGGATGGCCGTTGGGTCAATTTGCACATTATGCTTTTATTATATAGGATGGCCTGACGTTTCTAAACTTTGGTGCTGCCACTCCACAGGAAATCTTATACACAAGCTTCACCACTTGCATTTTAATCACTGGGTGAATGCAATCCCACAGTTCATTGAACTGATGACTATTAACTTCTTGATAAAGAGCAAGTTCTGACAAGGAGTCCTGGAAATGTGGGGACTTTGGGGACAGAGCTCTTACATCAGATTTACTAAACATACATTTGCACATCTGGGCAACAAGTGACCGGAAAGCAAAACAAATGCTAACTAGTCGAAGGGCACTGACCTCTTAGTAATCTCAAAAACTGACATTGCTCAGGAAGTCCAGGACTTCTTTGGCAGGCTTTTCTTACAGTGTGTGTGTGTGGGGGGGGGGGGGGGGGGGGGCAGTGCGCTCTCCAGCATGCTCAAATATAACTGAGCATTCAAAGTATAATAGATACCAAGACAAAACCTGAAACATGGAAGAGCTCAGAGAAGGGGCCAGAATTTTACTGTTGCTGGTGCTAAACGTGAGTCCTGGTAAAGAGCACTTCCTGAATACAAGACTCTGCCCATTCCCTGAGTGCCACCCACCTTACATGAAAGGACTAGGCCTTAGAGCTAAGAAGATAAAGACACTTTAGTCCTATGAGAAGTGTCTGGGGAGTTTGGGCTGAAGCCTTGGCTGAATTCTGAAATGGTCAGAATAGGATTTATAAGAACAAAGCCTGGCACTACACATCCCACAAGGCTGGCTATAACAGAGAAAATGCAGATAAGACTATGGGTCACTCTGAGGTACAAACAAGCAAAGATTATTCCAACTTTGGAACAATCTAAAAGCATGTGTCCTCTGAACTAAGTAGAGTCAGTCAAATTTCCTTTCAGGTACAATTGTCATCTCTGGTTTCAGTTTCTTTCACAAAAGATGAGTACAAATAGCATTTGGGGATGGAGGGAGAAAGTGGGTGATTAAGATGTTTCTGCTAAATTTCCATTTTGGAAAACCTTCTAGGCTATCAGCTCCCAGGTGATTTCCTCTTTACAAGACATAAAGAGGCTTAACAGAACCTTAGCAAAATAACTACAGAGGCAAAAGGCCCTCAAGTTCACCCAGGAAAGGGTGATGCAGAGAATGAGAACCAGACTAAAGTATAACAGACTGGGGCACACCAGGCTGTCACTTTTGACCAAGGATTCATTGATTATGAAGAAACTAAGATCAAGAGAATTAAGTAATATGGCCAAGGTCATTCAGAGAGTTAACAAGTTAAGTTGGGACCAAATCCTAGTCCTTCTGAATGCAAGATGATGCCTCCCGTGTCCCCAGCTAACATTCATGAGGATGAAAATGATGTCACCAGACTACTAGCAACATAGAAAGCAAGGCTACATACACTACACTGCGTTTACATGTGCAGTGGACAGATTTTCTAAACCACTGAGTGTCATTTGCTTTTTTAGTATGAGAAGTGAACTCGATTCTATTTCTGAAAAGTAAATGCTTAGCCTCCGATTTGAAAATTCAAAAGCTGCTGCTGCTTGTCCCTACAGCACTCACCTTAGCTCACTCAGATTATACAACAAGCAGAGATTATTCCCTGAGGAGCCTTGCTTTAGAGGACTAGCAGGGCTGGAGATGGTTGGTCCCAAAGGGGACAGGAGGATGGCACCCACCACCACTTGGTGACTGAATGGAAGCAACCAGACCTGCTAGACCTTGGTGGATAATGAAGCCAGAAGCTTGGGGGGCATCCCTACACTAAGGGAGGTCACAATTGGGTTTACACATCTCTATAGCACCCATTGCCATAGTAACTACAGAGAAACAGAAGATCTGGTTCCAAGAATATTAAGTCATATCCTCCATGTGTAAGGTGACCAGATGTCCCAATTTTTAACAACTTGTCCCGCGTCCCTTGGCGTTTTTAAAAAGTTCTGATTTTTTTTAAAGATTCTTTCCAAAAATCGGGACTTTTTAAAGACTCCGCAGGACAAATTGTTCAAAATCGGGACTGTCCCACTAAAAGTGGGATGTCTGGTCACCTTATCCATGTGTTGAGTATTTAATATCTCTTCAGGCCTGGCCAGTGTGGCTCAGTGGTTGAGCAAAGACCTATGAACCAGGAGGTCATGGTTCAATTCCTGGTCAGGACACATGCCTGGGTTGTCAGCTCAATGTCCAGTGTGGGATGTTCAGGAGGCAGCCAATCAACAATTCTCTCATCATTTATGTTTCTATCTCTCTCCCCCTCTCCCTTCTTTTATAAATAAAAATATATATTTCAAAAAGTAAAAATTCTAAATAATAAAAGGCTAATAGGGAAACTGACCAAATGGTGGAACAACGGGTCACTATGACACACACTGACTACCAGAGGGCAGACGCTCGATGCAGGAGCTGGGGCAGTGCCGCTCAGCTAGAAGCCAGGCTCACGGATGCAAGCGCAGCAGCGGTGGTAAAAGTCTCTCCAGTCCCAGACTGTGAGAGGGCGCAGGCCAGGCTGAGGGACTGCCCCCTCGCCTGTGCACGACTGTTGCTTGGGAAGCTGTGTCCTGGGAAGTTCACACTGGTCAGAAAGTAAAACGTATGGCTATGGAAGTTTTATAGGTAGACCAGGCAGAGTCACACATGATGATCTGCTATTTCTTCCCTTCAATTTTTGAAGGCTTCACTGAAGAGCTAGAGTATCTGGAAAAACAGTTTAAGGGCATTTTGGTAAATAATCACTATGACACTGTTATTTTTTTGCTTTTTAAAGTGTAGTTTTGAGGAGTGTTACAAATACTTAAATTGCCTCTTAAAAAAAAAAAATTAGCTTCTTACTGTGAGAAAGTAATAGCTGCTGCCAAAGACACAGCCTGTGCAGGCTGGGTCAGCCTCTTGCAGCTACCAGTTTCTTGTTCCCTCTGCACAACCTGCACCCTCCACCCCCTGGGCCACCAGAATCTAGGCAGCCATTGTGGCAAAGCCTGGGAATAATGCCTCACTTTGTGGACCAGTGGAAACATGTTAAGATGCCTGTGGGTCCAAAGTGAGAGATAGGAGCCACCTTGTTAGATTGACCAACGCGTTGGCCTATGGAGTTGCTAATCTTACGAGAAGTTTGTGTTGAACTTTTGTACGGAGGCATGCTCCCTGCAGAGGACTCATTTTGTGTTGTTGTCCAACAGTATTATCCTGTATCAACCAGTCTGAAACTTGTTTTTCTAGCTCAACATTTTGCTTAAAGATCTTCCTAGGTCAATAAATACAGACCTACTCTGTCTCAGTTTAACTGCTATTTAAGTCATCCAGGGAAGGTTAAGCAAACAAACGCTTGCCAGCACTCCTCCATCCCATGCTTGCAGAGGCCACCTGATACTTCCAGATGTCTGCTACTGAAAAACCTTTATTCCCCAGTTGGCTTTAGAGAAGGAATTCACAGTGAGAGTTCTCTTCTTGCTTGTAAGTTCTCTGGAAAGGGTTAACCCAAAGAAGGCAATAGCTGTACAATCTCCTAACAAGCCCACATCCTATCTCTAAGCACATTTTGGAAGAAAACCATCAAGGCATTAGGTTATCATTATCTCAAGGGGAAAAAGCAAAATGCTAGTGATCACAATTTACTGAAAAGAAAAGAAAAACACACAGCAGTCTGACATTGTAAAATTGAATAATGTCCTAAGGCAGTCCCCACAAACTACATAAATTAAAAATACATGAAGTGGGTGCTTATAATTCCCAAGAGGTCCAGAGAACTGGTCAAACATCATTGTCTCCATATATAATTATCAAGAAGAAATTCATGTAGCCCAGACCATCTACTAATACTGTCAACTAAGGACATGATTAGGCAGTAATGAATAACTTTAGGGGGAAGGGAACAGTTGAACAGCTTATAGGCCAAGAAAGGCAGAGAATCACATGCTCCAGAGCTCTGAGAGGTATGCTCAACCAAACCCTGCACAGAAGGACAACACATAAAGAGCAGTGAGTGGAGATCCATGGTTAAAGTGGCAAGGGAGAGCCAGGGACTCAGGAGCTTAGCTCCCCCAGCACCCCAAGAAACTCTGAGCTCAGCCTAGTTCAATGGCTATGGTCTATGGCTGTGGTTGGCAAACTGCGGCTCAGGAGCCACATGCGGCTCTTTGGCCCCTTGAGTGTGGCTCTTCCACAAAATACCACGGCTTGGGCGAGTCTATTTTGAAGAAGTGGCGTTAGAAGAAATTTAAGTTTAAAAACTGTGGCTCTCAAAAGAAATTTCAATTATTCTACCATTGATATTTGGCTCTGTTGACTAATGAGTTTGCCGACCACTTGTCTAGGGCAGCAGTAGCAAACCGGTGGTCCGCAGACCACTGGTGGTCTGTGAGGTCCAAAAGGTTGGTGACTGCTGTTCCAGGAGAATTAGGACACTAGCTTGGAAACTGCTTCCATTTCCTATGCATGTGCTAAGTGTCTACAGCTCTAGGACAGTCTCTTATACTTCTATGTCCAAAGAAGCAGAGGGAAGCTGGTCCTGGAATTAGCCCCTGTTCCCAGACTTGCCCAGGTTTTTCTAGCTGCTGGGCCAGGGTTTCATATACCCTTTCATACCTTGTTTCCAATACTCCAGCAGCTCCTTTTATGTATATACTAGAGGCCCAGTGCACAAAATTTGTGCACAGGGGAGGGGGGCTCCTCAGCCCAGCCTGCACCCTCTCCAATCTGGGACCCCTTGGGGAATGTCCTGCGGGATCGAGCCTAAACCAGCAGTCAAACATCCCTCTCACAATCTGGGACTGCTGCCTCCTAACTGCTCACCTGCCTGCCTGCCTGATTGCCCCTAACCGCTCTATCTGCTAGCCTGATTGATGCCTATCTGCTCCCCTGCTGGCCCAATTGCCTCCAACTGCCCTCCCCTGCAACCTGGTTGCCCCCAACTGCCCTCCCCTGCCGGCCATCTTGTGGCGGTCATCTTGTGACATGAGGGCGGCCATCTTGTAATGACATGAGGGCATCGTGCGAGTGCACAAGGACCACCAAGGCTTTTATTAGTATAGATATTTATGTTTGCTGAAACCGGTTTGGCTCAGTGGATAGAGCGTCGGTCTGTGGACTGAAAGGTGCCAGGTTTGATTCTGGTCAAGGGAATGTATGTTAGTTGTGGGCACATCCCCGGTGTGGGGTATGCAGGAGGCAGCTGGTCGATGTTTCTCTCTCATCAACATTTCTATCTCTTTATCCCTCTCCCTTCCTCTTTGTGGAAAATCAATAAAATAAAATAAATAAAACAATAAAAAAAGATGTGCTTTGCAAGGTTCACTTAAAAAAAATAGTTTAAAAAAAATAAAGATATTTATGTTTGTTGTTGATTTCAGAGGAAGGGGAGGAGGAAAGAGAAACATCAATGATGAGAGAGAATCATTGACTAGCTGCCTCCTGTACAACCCCCATCACACTAGTCAGTGTTTAGTTGCCCTGTTCCTGGGAACCAGATTAGAACACTATGTGTATGTGGGAACATGCTGTCTTTTGCATGAGCACTCATGCATTTCCCATGACAGTTGATGTTCAGTTGATGACAGAAAGGCTGTTTGTTTACAAAGTAATCCTAGTGTTTCTGTCTCTCATCTTCCACCCAAATACCTCCTCAGCTGAAAATACGAATTCAGAGAAGTGTATTTCTGACGATGAAAGGGTATTTGCCAGAATAGAAGAATCATTAGTCTTTTTTGAGAATCATATGAAGGCTTCAGACTCTCTCTCCAGGACAATCACATATTAGAAAAAAATGTTGCCTATGCCATTCCAAAGCAACCACAGGCCCCTACAATTCTCCTGTGGACCCAGAATTCAGGTTAAGAACCCCTATTCTAAAATGAGAGACATTCTCTTTATGGATAAAACCTCTGAGACCTTGCTAAAAAGAGGTATCCCCTTTCTTTGGCCTCCTCCCTTCTTTTATCTTTCTATTCTTTTACCTAATCCCAGTGGGTTCAGTTCAAGTTCTCCTGTCTTTTCTATTTCTCAGCTCTTCACTTTCCTGACCTCCCCGAATACTGAGCATCAGAACGACAATCATAAACCTTACAAAGTGATTTTACTGTTTTGTGTCCCCAGTATGACTGCCAACTGCTAGTGAACAAGGACTATGCTGGGTTTGTTGTTTTTGCACGCCCCCTTAGTGCCAATACTCTGCACACCATAGAGGCAATACACGCTTGCCAAATGGGCAGAAATCACTGTTTCTTTGTCCCTCTATCTTTAGGTATTTGCACTTGAAAATTAACTTCTTTGAAATCTGAACACATGCCCTGGAAAAGCCAAATGAAAAGGGGGGAAAAAAAGCATAACTTGTAGCAGCTAGTCAAACACACACTCTTATTTTTTTTTATTTTTTTTAATATATTTTATTGATTTTTCACAGAGAGAAAGAGTGATAGAGAGTTAGATACATCGATGAGAGAGAATCATCGATCAGCTGCCTGGTGCACACCCTCCACTGGGGATGTGCCCGCAACCAAGGTACATGCCCTTGCCCGGAATCGAACCCAGGACCTTTCAGTCCGCAGGCCGACGCTCTCTCCACTGAGCCAAACCGGTCCTGGCACACACACCCTTTTTTAAAAACATGTATTTTACTGAATTTTTTACAGAAAGGAAGGGAGAGAGAGAGAAACATTGATGAGAGAGAAACATCAATCAGCTGCCTCCTGCACACTCCCCACTGGGGATGTGCCCGCAACCAAGGTACATGCCCTTGACCAGAAACGAACCTGGGACCCTTCAGTCCACAGGTCAATGCTCTACCCACTGAGCCAAACCAGTTAGGGACCCCTTTTTTATTTAATCCTCACCTCAGCAAATACGTTTTTATTGATTTTTTTTAAAGAAAGAAACATCGATATGTTGTCTCCACAGGCACCCCAATTGGGGATCAAACCCACAACCTAGGTATGTGCCCTGACCAGGAATCGAACCCACAGCATTTTAGTGTATGAGATGATGCTCTAACCCACATGTGTCAAACACATGGCCCTCGGGCCAAATCCATCCCGCCAGGCCTTGCAATGTGGCCCGCACCGCGCTGTCATCACTGCACTCAGCTGCGTTTCCATCACAATGACAGTTTATGACTGTTCAGTAAACCATTCGGCCCGCGATTTAGGCTGGATTTTAGATTTTGGCCCCTTCTCTGATTGAGTTCGACACCCCTACTCTAACCAAATGATCTACCCAGGTTGTGGGCTTGATCCTCAAGAAGGGGCATGCAGAAGGCAGCTGATCAATGACTCTCATTAATGTCTCTCTCTCCCACCCTCCCCCCTCTCCCTGCCTTTCTCTGAAATCAATAAAAACATATTTTTTTAAAGAGTGAGAGGGGGGTGAGAGAGAGAAATATCAATGGACTTCCTAATACAAGCCCCCTACTGAAGATCAAGCCTTAAACCCAGGCATGTACCCTCTCCAGTACTCTAACTGGTAATTGGGACTACACTCACCCAACTGAACCACACCGGCCAGGAAGGGAGTGAAGGTTTAACACTCCTTCACTATATCTGCTTTTCTCATCTGCCTTCAAACACTACTTAGAGCCTCTCCAATCCATACTCAATTTTGCTTACTGATTCTTTCCCTTTACCTGCCTGTCCTCCTCCAAATTGTCTTGGAAATAGTTCTAGGTGAGTGGTTGGCAAATTCATTAGTCAACAAAGCCAAATGTCAACAGTACAATAACTGAAATTTCTTTTGAGAGCCAAATTTTTAAAAAATATATTTTTTATTGATTTCTTACAGAGAGGAAGGGAGAGAGATAGAGAGATAGAAACGTCAATGAGAGAGAAACATCGACCAGCTGCCTCCTGCACACCCACCACCGGGGATGTGCCCGCAACCAACGGACATGCCCCTGACCAGAATCGAACCTGGGACCCTTCAGTCCACAGACCGACGCCCCACCACTAAGCCAAACCAGTTTCGGCTGAGAGCCAAATTTTTAAAACTTAAACTTCTTCTAATACCACTTCTTCAAAATACAATAGACTATCCCAGGCTGTGGTATTTTGTGGAAGAGCCACACTCAAGGGGCCGAAGAGCCTCATGTGGCTCACGAGCCGCAGTTTGCCAACCACGCTTCTAGGTGATAACAGTTCCTCTGCAGCAGCCTGTAGTGGTCTTGCTAGAATGAACAGCAGGCCCAGTGTCCAAGGAAGAGGATGGCTACACTTGGGCATGTGACATGCCATATTACCAACAAACATTTATATTGTATGCAGGCTTCTGCGGAAACCGGTTTGGCTCAGTGGATAGAGCGTCGGCCTGTGGACTAAAAGGTCCCGAGTTCAATTCTGGTCAAGGGCATGTACCTTGGTTGCGGGCACATCCCCAGTAGGGGGTGTGGTGTGCAAGAGGCAGCTGATCGATGTCTCGCTCTCATAGATGTTTCTAACTCTCTATTCCTCTCTGTAAAAAATCAATAAAAATATATTGTTTATAGGCTTCAAGTAGTTCTAAGAGAGAGAGAGAGAGAGAGAGAGAGAGAGAGAGAGAGAGAACACAACAATATGTCCCATAGTAGAAATACTAATTGTGCAATACAGACAACAATGCTCAAGATTCAGCCTTATGTTCCAAATTAACCAGGACAGTTCTGATTCAAATATCCCACCCCAGCAATTAATTCCTTCAGTACACCTGAATGCTGAAACTATGGGTCCCATTGTTTGACATATAAAAAATATGATCAACACAGTGACTGATGAGGCAGGCCAGCCAACTAGGTTAGCTGAAAGCACGAGGGCAGATTGCTTAATCATGCTAGCATCTTCCCTCAGGCCTCAAATACTTATGGGATTGAATACAAGACAGTGAAATTTGAGTTTTCCAACACTGAAAGAGAGCTCATCAGGAGAAAGGCAGGAAGCTTGGAGTATTTACAAAAAGTCAGACAGGTGAAATATAAGACACCTGTCTCTGTTATGCCATTCTTCCCCAAAGCCCTATTAAAGTTACTGACAACTATGACAATAATTAAGCCCATGATACTCTTGGGAAGCAAACAAATCTATATGTGTGACAAAAATTAATTCCCCCCCTAAACAGATGGAAGAGAATATCCACTTGCTTGGCCGCTTGCATACAAGCTGACAACAATTATTGTCATGCAACAATTAGCCCTTTCTTTCTTCTTCTGCTGTCCCTTCCCTCATGTATCCTATTCACTTACTTCTCTACCCTTTTGCCAGTAAACCATTCCCTTTTCTGTTCAGCCTGTACTTTAGACAAAGGTCCCCAAACAAGAATCACATGGGAAATTAAAAACACAGATTCCCAGACCCAAACTTACCAAAACAGAAAGATTTGGAAACACTTCTTAAATCAATAAGCATTCAAGGCACAAAAGATTTTAAGATTCAAATATCAACCTCATTTTTCAGATATAGAAACTACAGCTCAAAGGGTTTAAATGTTTTTCTCATGGTAAAAAATATACTAGCACAGTGTTATTTTTTGGAAGAAATAAACCATTTACTTTTCACCTTCTAATACAAGTGAGTATGTATTTGGATATATATACATACATGCAAAACAAAGCTGTCTAGTGTTGAATAGCCGCTTGAACAAAAATGATTACAGGCTGATTGGATTAACTGATTGAGTCAATCATTTTGAAGTAAGGTACAAACAAAAAGTCGGTGTATTTGTACACTTTATTTTTTTGTTGTTGTTGTTAATCCTCACCCTAGGATATTTTTCCATTGATTTTTCAGGGAGAGTAGAAGAGAGAGGGAAAGACAGAGACAAGCCTCGAAAAACACATCGATTGGGTGCCTCCTGTACGAGCCCAGATCCACATGCCTCTGACCAGAATCAAACCCCAGACCCTTTGGTCTGCAGGCCCACCCTCTATCCACTGAGCCACACCGGCTAGGGCGGTGTATCTGTACACTTTACACAGGGTGAGAAACTCAAGCATACACTTAAAAAGAACCTTCCTCAGCATTATACCAGTCAATAGTAAAAATACATGTACTCTGATGCAATTCCTACTCCATAAGCAGACAGTACAGCCCTTGGGTCACTGCTAAAATATTTGCTTAAAAGAAATACAGGGAGCCCCAGGGCCACTAGATCAGTGGTTAGGACATCAGCCAGCAGACCAAAGGGTCATGGGTTCAATTCCAAGTCAGGAGCAGGTTGCAGGTTGCAGGTTGCAGGTTCCCCAGCCCCAAATTAATGTATCTCTCTCACACTGATATTTATTTCTCTCTCCCAGTCTTCCTTTCCACTTCTCTAGAAATCAGTGGGAAAATATCCTTTGGTGAAGGTTAAAAAAGAAGAAAAGAGCTGAAACCGGTTTGGCTCAGTGGATAGAGCGTCGGCTTGGGGACTGAAAGGTTCCGGATTCGATTCCCATCAAGGGCATGTATCTTGGTTGTGGGCATATCCCCAGTAGGAGGTGTGCAAGAGGCAGCTGATCGATGACACTCTCTCATCGATGTTTCTAACTCTCTATCATTCTCCCTTCCTCTCTGTACAAAATCAATAAAATATATTAAAAAAAAAAAAAAAAGAAGAAGAAGTAGAAGAAGGAAAGAAACACAGGGTGAGGCAAAAGTAGATTTATAGTTGTTTGTATGAAAATAATACAATAATTAATAAATAATACAAGAATAAAGTTCCATATACTCACAACTGTAAATCTACTTTTGCCTCCCCATGTATATCACATAGAAAATTGCATGTTTGCTAAATTTACATTAAAGTAACATTAAAACCTATTCACTGTTAAGAGCTTTATAAATTTAATTGCTGTTTTGAAATGCCTAGTTAAGGGTTCAGAATATTGCCTTGTAAGGTCTTGAATATAGATGTGGTTGATATGACAACCTAGAAAGAGTTCCCAGCTCCATTTCAGTTGGCCATGGTTATAATTTAGATGCAATCCTCTGTTAAATTATCTATAGTGAACGCCATTAACTATTGTTACTCTTTTTTTAAATTGCTTTTTAGAGAAAGATAGGAAGGGAGGGAGATCAATTTCTTGTTCCATTTATTTACTGGAACATCCATTGGTTGATTCTTGTATGTGCCCTGACATAGGACTGAGCCTGCAACCTGGGCATATCAGGCTGATGCACCAACCAAATGAGCTATCCTATTGTTCTTAAATGGGGAGACACTGGTCACTCAGAAAAGATTTCTTGCAAAATATATAAATAAATGTAACAGCATATTCTTTTATATATGTAATGTGGCTAAATCAGACCATCAGTTATGGGCTGCTATATTTCACTACTGTGTCAAATTTATTAAAAATTAAAAAAAAAATTCTGAGAGTTTCAGCTGTTTCCATTAGTTGGCTTTAAAATGTCTAATACAATGGGAGACAATATCTTATGATAAATAAATGAAGTCAATATGAAAAATAAACCATACAGTGAACAATATTACAGAGCACCTGAGTGGTCATCAGAATGAATTATTTATATATATATATATATATATATATATATATATATATATATATATATATGATCTTGGTATTAGCAGTTACATTAACTATCCCAATAATGGTACTACTTTTTAGCAGCACAAAAATATCAAGAAATTATTCAGATTACAAGATAAAGCTTTAATCCTATGTTTTTGCACAAATAATCCTAACAGATATAATTACTTAAAATCAGACAACATTCACTGTGTTGAACACAAAAGGAGATGTTACCAAGTCTTTTAATTCTCCTACTGACCACTATTAGAAAAAAGATTTCATTAAGTCAGCTATTTTTAACCTTTTTCATCTCATAGCACACATAAACTAATTACTAAAATACCAAAAAAAATTTTTTTGCTAATCTAACAAAAAAAATAAGTATAATTCTGATTCATTCACACCAGACGGCTATTCTTGCATTGGCTGCTGTTATTTTTAAATTTGACAATTAAAGGGGAAAAAGACAGTGCCCCTGACTAGTCTGGAACTGCATGTTTCAAAAATTCTTGCAGCACAGCACATGGGCTGAAAATTGCTGCATTAAATGACTATTTATAACTTTTTGATTAACTATGGCCAATAATGTACCAGAAAGTTATTTATAGTTTTTCACCTCTCTTCTGTCCAAGGTGTTTCAAGCTAAACTTTAAAGTTTTACATTGAAATATATAACTGCAATTTTCAAAAATATCTTCCAGTTTTTGGTACAATCCTGATCAGAGCCCAAGTGAACTCTGAAATGAGTCAGCTTTTAAAAGAAAACCAAAAAGAACCAGGTAGCCCACAGGCCCCAGCTGCCCAGTTTGGCTTTCCAATGAGGGTGAACTAAATGCAGGGAATGCTATATTTTCTGGAACTCATCTTTTCACTGACATTGGCATTTCTAAAGTAGCTCAAACTCCGACTCTAGGACTCATAGCATCTCACTTTATTGGCCCAAGCAGAGGTAAAAAGCAAATCAAGTCAGAAAATGGGGTAATCACAGAGTTTCCTCTTCAAACCCCGAGTTGGATGAGGTTACTCAATGAGACTGTGTGTTTGCAAGGCCCCTCCAATTTCCACACTCTCACCCAAGGTTCTGGCTTGAGCACCGTATTTGAGAACTTTTTCCAATTTCACTAAGCAAACTTGTAAATGCCCAATTGAACTGTGAGCTCCTGGTAAGCTTGTGATGTTTTGTCTTGTGAAGTTTCTTGGGGAAAAAAAACACACACACACACAAAAACTGAAGAATGAAGCACAGATTTACTAATGTGTATTCCTTATCCCTCTCCTCACAGAAGAAATACTAAAAATTTTAATACGGGAGTTATATCAAAACACACTGGTTAATGCCATATCAGAAATTCAAAACAGTAAGTTCCTGTTTCCTTTTATTTGGGAAGACATTTTAAGGGGTGGGGAAAACAGTTTAAATAACCCATTTCCAATTTCTATTTGTTGAGAAAAGAGCATGGGATCTGGAGGCAGCCAACCATGTGCCACCACCATGTGCCGCCGCAGGTCATTTCCTTCACCCGTCTCATCCCTAACCCCACTCAGAAGTAGGAACACGATCAACTCAGAGGGTTTTGGAAGTGGCTGAGAATGGGAGGACTTCCTGAACCATAGGATGTTTATTTTTCTGGTTCACAGAATCATAACCATCACACAATAAGGATGACAGCCACAGGCCACAAAAACCGGTTCATCAGACCAATTTAAATGGCAAGACAGACGGGCCTTGTACAAAGACTATGTGCAAGGCGGGCCTGGCAGCTCTTACGGGGCAATGAACACACCTGGAGCAGGGTGCTTAGGAGGTGACAGGTAAGCCGGCTGCCCAAATTCACCGGCTGCCCCGGGCACGGCTCCTCCCCATCTGGCGCTCTGCACCAGGGCGGCCGCGGTCACTCACGAAGTCACAACAGTGACTCAAAGGGCCCTTCGGTGTGAGGTGAGTCACATGGAGGAAGGGCAGAGCCAGGGCCCGAGGTAAGCCGCCAGGCACCCGTCTCCGACGCGGGGGGTGGTGAGGGCCGGGGCCTCGCGGGCCCCGGTGGAAGGACGTGCGGGCAGGGAGGTCAGTGGCTGCAACCTCCACAGGAAGCGCCAGGTCTCCCGGCGGCGGCCCCGGGGTCACCTCACCCTGCGCACTCGCGACGCCAGGAGGGAGGGCCGAGCGCCAACTGGCCACTCAGGCTTCCCGGCCCTCGGAAACGTCGTCTGTGAAGCGGGGTCCCCCCCGCGCCCAGCCACCTTCCCCATCACCCCGCTATTGCCGTTCCCGCCGGGTGTCCCTCAGGCCTGCGCCGGGGACCCGGCGGGCCGCGGCTGGCAGGACCCAGGTCCCGAGAACCAGCGCCGGTCGGAGCCCGCCGAGGACCCGGGAAGTCTGGACGGGTGCGGGCCACTCACCAGCCTCGGCTCCCCTTGGCCGGCCGCAGGTCCGTCCGTCCGTCCGCCTGTGGCTGCCTCCGCGTCTGTCAGGAACAGTCGAGCAAGTGGAGCGCGAGGGCGGGCCGACGTGCGCACGCAGCGGGGGCGGGCCCTGCGGAGGACACGCCCCCGCGGCGGGCACGTGGCTCCGCTCTGGGGACCCGGGGCTGCCGGGAAGTGGGGGTGTTTGTGCGTGAACTAAAGAGAGCGCTAATGAGAGCAGGTGTTTAGGAGGCCTCCTCCGGACACGCGCTTTTCTGGCCCGATGGCACTACCTCTTCAGGCTCATCTTGCCCTAGGCTTCATCTGTCCTTTCTGTTCCAACCACACTGGCTTCCAGGCATTTCCTTAACCGGGGGTTGGCGGCAGGTTAAATGACTGGTAATGTTCAGTGTTAGCAAAGGTGTGGGAGAAAGTTTGCAGGTTTTGTTAGAGTTATTAGTTGTCCTCAAAGGAAATTCCAAACCTAAAGAAAAGCTTAGATAGTTTATTAAAGCCAAAGATTGGGGGTTAGTCCTGGAAGCAAAATCTCAAAAGACAGGGGTAACTCTCCAAGGTAGATGCACAGGGAGTGGGGGGAATCCCTCAGCCCAGCCTGCGCCCTCTCACAATCCTGGACCCCTTAGGCCGCAGATGTCTTCAAACTACGGCCCGCGGGCCACATGCGGCCCGCAGAGGAGTCTGATCCGGCCCGCCAGGTTTTTTGAGCAGTGAGCGAAGCCGAGGTGTTACAGTAGGAATTAGTAGTTCATATAGTCCGGCCCTCCAGCTCTCTGAGGGACCGTGATCTGGCCCCCACTTTAAAAAGTTTGAGGACCCCCTGCTAGGGGATGTCCACCTGCAGGCTAAGAGAACCGGGCATAAGCCACCAAGTGGACATCTCTCAGGGGTCCTTAGTGCTGCTGGAGGTGGGAGAGACTCCCACCATTGTCCCTGTGAGCCCAGCTTCTGGCTGAGCAGCACTTTCCTGGTTGGAGCGCACTGACCACCAGGGGGCAACTCCTGCATTGAGCGTTTGCCCCCTGGAAGTCAGTGCATGTCATGGCAACGGGACATTCTGCCATTTGGTCAATTTGCATATTAGGGTTTTATTATTGTATATAGGAAAGGAGAACACCTAAGAAAGGTTACATGAAATCTATTGGTGGAAGATTAAAGCAGCAGGAGAAAAAGTGGGAAAATCTCTAGGATTGAGTAAAAAATAAAATGGACAGATATTACTTTATATTGATGGAGGCAGGATACTTAACATTTAACATAGTTTGTAGAAGTATGTAGTTGAAAGAGAACAATGAGGAATGCTGGGGTTGTCTTCCCCCCCCCCCCCCCCTGCACTAGGATGTTTAACTTTACATTCTCACATTTTAAATATATTCTAGATGCACATACACAATGGACAGGGCTTGTTCAAAGTAGAGATTAATTTTAATTTACCCTATATGCCTTAGGACATGACTTCCCACCATAACCCACTCAATTAGGAATGTGGGGTGTTTTTTATGTGTTTTTATTTATTTCAGAGAGAGGAAGTAAGAAGAGAAGGAAATAGAAACATCAAAGATGAGAAAGAATCATTGATTGGCTGCCTCCTGCATGCCCCACACTGGGGATTGAGCCAGCAACCCAACCCGGGCATGAGCCCTGACCAGGAATCCACCCATGATCTCCTGGTTCATGCAATGCTCAGCTACTGAGTCACCCGGGCCAGGCAAGTTAGGAATGTTTTGTTGATCAAAACAACCTGTGTGGTTATTTTCAGTTATTGAACTTGTCAGACTTCCTATGGTAGCCTCTTTTTTTCTTCACATGGGGAAGGGGGTACTATTTGGCAGGAACTGTTAACATTTAGAATGGGCATTCTCATTGACCCAACAATTACACTTCTGGGTAGCTATTCTAGAAAAACATTTGTGTTATTGAACTCAAGGAATTCACTGTTTAATATGCTGTGTTTGAAAATGAGAGGTGGTTGTTGCAAGGAGTTTTACTTACTTGCAGCAAGTAAGGGAGACAGGGAATTTGTCCCTGACAAAGAGGTTCTTTCACCCATCCCTCAAAACAGAAATCAGGAGAGGAAGCTAAACAGATTCAAAATTAGAGGTTTAGCCCTGGCCAGTGTGACTTAATTTGGTTCTCCTGTGCACAAAAGGTTGCCAGTTAGATTTCCGGTCAGGGCACATGCCTGGGTTGTGGGTTTCGGACTCGATTCCTGGTCAGGGGCATGCAAGAGGCAGCCCACTGATATTTCTCTATCATCAATGTGGGGTTTTTTCCCCCTCTCTCTCCCTCTCCCTTTCTTTCTTTCTAAAACCAATAAAAACATATTTAAAAAATTAGAAGTTTACTAGAATCAAGGTGGAGGGAAAGAAAAGAGGGAGGGGACTTAACGCAACTAATAACAGCCTGACTCCAAAACTGCTGCTGTGGGTCTGGCTTATATAGGGCTAGTTCCTCACACAGGTACATAGTAGGGCTCTTTACTTTTCAGGTTCCAGCAGCTGGTACACACCTGTGCAGGTGCAGAGCCGAACTCTTTACTTTCCTGGTGCACAGAACAGAGCTCTTTGGGGAATGCCTGAACTTATCAAAACAGGAAAACAGTGTCAGTTTTAGCATGAGCATGTCCAGTGCCTTGCGGATGTTTAGACAACCGATCAGCCTACTTTGTGTCAAGTACTATTTCAGGTGCTGGAAATACAGCAGTGAACACAAATACCTGCCGTCCCAAACCTGACAGTCCCGGATGAGTGGATATGTATTTTGTTATCAGAGTTTCTTAGTTTGACATCATTTATTTATGTATATTTTAATCCTCACCTGAGGATATTTTTTTCCATTGATTTTCAGAGAGAGTGGAAGAGAGAGGGAAAGACAGAGAGAAACATCTATGTGAGAGAAGCATATTGGTTGCCAAACCAGGGCCCAGGCTGGGGAGGACCCTGCAATCAAGGTACCTGCCCTTGATATCATTTAGATGAGTATCAACCTCTTGGGATAACATCGGGTCATGAGCCCTAATAAGCAGCAGAACTTGAACCTGCCTAGAATCACCCCACGGATCCCCTGGCCTGCTTTGACCACTCACTCACAGCCACACCCAGACATATTCTGGAGTGAATGAAAAAGCAAATGTTCTTTTCCAGTCAGAATAACTTTCCAGAAGAATGAGGGTCAATGTTGAGTTTTAGTTGAGCACAAAGAAATCTCCCTTTTCTGGTTAAAAATCATTCAAATCTGAGTAAGTAGCAGCAACCTCAACGTGTCAGGCAGATAAGAAATAACTCCGGGCCTTGAAGGGGATAAAACGCACGGAAATAGACTTGCTCATCTTTAGGTGACACCCCATTATCTACAAGTCCAGACATCCACGCCAGACAGGAGATTGAGGCGGGGGCGGGTCCAGAAACACCGCGGATTCTCCGGGATGAACCATCTTAGTCCGCGGGCGGGGGTGGCGCGCTGGCTCGCGCGGACCGGGATGAACCATCTCTGTCCGCGGGTGGGGGGCGCGCCGGCTCGCGCGGAGTTAGGACCCGGACGGCGAGGCTTTCCGAGCCGCGGCGCCTAGGAGGTCCCGGTGTGCAGGGCGGCCTTGCTAGCGCAGGAATGAAGCTGCGGGCCGGGGTGGGCAACCTTCGTGGGATTACATCCCCCCCTCTCCGTGTGGACTCGGCTGCAAACATCGAAGTCCCGTCATCCTCCCCGCCCCCCGTCCGTCCCCCCCGCATTATCCGTGGTGTTTCCCACCCAGGCAGTGGTGAGGGGGTAGCACAGGTCGGGGCCAGGGTCCGAGACTCGGGCTGGGGAGGTGGTGTCAGGCCTGGGGGGTGAGGCCAGGGGCCGCAGATCCCGACCTCCCTTGGCTGCCGCCTCCTCGGGTGCACGCGCGTGGTTCAGGGCGAGGACCCCCGGCCCCGCTGCCCACCCCGCGCGCCCCAGCTTCTCAGGACCGCGTGTCCCGCTCCCGCTCACATGGCGGACTAGAAGGTAGTGGTGGTGTTTGGAGCCACCGGTAAGTGGAACCCCAAACAATCGGAGGCCCCCCGTAGCGCAGGACCTCTCACCAGCCAGGGGCCTCCTCCCCCAGCTCAGGGAGCCATCCCCAAGGGGTCGGCGGGAGAGTGAGATAGGTTGGACCTCTGGCCTCGGCTGGGGCCGTGGGGACAGGACCTGAGCGCAGGTGTCCTTTGAATCTTAAAAACATTACTTTAACTTTAAATGAGGAGTAATTGCACATGATACCGACATTAAATCTCCGTCCCATTTCTGTACCCCCCACCCCATCCATCTCTGTTACCGTTTTCTGAGCATCCTACCAAATTTGAAATATCTAAGTTATTTTTAAACAGTACAGTAGTGCTTTATTTTGCCCCCACCTGTTCTTTCTCTCTTCCCCCAAAAATGTATACATTTTGAATAGTTATTAATTCCAGTGAGTTAAATCTAAAAAGAAACATTAATTGAGCTAAAAGCTATTAAAGTGTGTATACATTTTGGGGGGGACTATCTATCTATATATATATGTGTGTGTGTGTGTGTGTGTGTGTGTGTGTACTTTATACATATAACATATATACCCTGTTTCCCCGAAAATAAGACAGTGTCTTATATTAATTTTTTCTCCCAAAGTTGCGCTAGGTCTTATTTTCAGGGGATGTCTTATCTTTCCATGTGCTAGGTCTTATTTTCGGAGGATGTCTTATTTTCAGGGAAACACGGTACTTATGTATGATTCACAGAGTGGCCAGATTATTATGATTTCTGAATGCATAATAATCTGGTCACTCAGTGTATATCCTATATAATAAAAGGATAATATGCAAATTGTCCCCTTGGCCAGGAGTTTGACCAGCAGGCAGGCTGGCCAACAGCCCATGTCCCCTCCCCCTGGCCAGGCTGGCCATACCCCACCCATGCGCAAATTCATGCACCAGGCCTTATACACACATATCTATATCTATAGATATAGATAGATACCTGGCCAGGCTGGCCATACCCCACCCATGCACAAATTCATGCACCGGGCCTTATACACACATATCTATAGATAGATAGATAATGTGTGTGTATGTACACACATACACTGAGTGGCCAGATTATTATGTGTTCAGAGA